AGAAAACCTCTAAGTTTTCTTCCAAGTATCTTCCAATGACCTCTATTATTCTGAGAGATGAAAGAACCATTCCAAATAACTTTCTAAACCTTGGGAGCTAAGAGCCTTTTTTGACGCTCAGTTGTATTTGCCAGCACTGCTACATGGTATATCCATCAAGTTTTCTAGGATGTTTTGGGAATAGAGTAGGGGAATCATTATGCCCTGGAAGTATTCTCTCTCTCTCTCTCTCGCTCACTCGCTCACTCGCTCGCTGGAAGATTAGACATTTTAGCAAAGAAAGTCACCACTTATGAAAGTTGTAACAAAGAATTTGGGTTGGCCTTGTTGGTAATGCTTCTTGAAGAAATCCTGATACAAGACAGTGTCAACTCATTTCCAGCCTCCAATGAATTCAGTGTTCCATTCTTATTAGGTAAGAACATTTTTTTCTTCTGAATGTACCCATAGCCTCTGTCCCATACCAAGATAGCTCACTTCAATGGAAACCAGTAGTTACCCTATTACTACCAAACTAACGCACTCTCGTGTTCTTGATGTAGTTGAGTCTAGTCATTGGTACTTTTACACAGGGTGAGACAAGTCAGTACGGAAAAATGTTCGGACCCAGAAATATATTATCATATTAAACATGGTAAAAGTAATTGGCATGTCCTTCATCTAGGGGGTCATCAACAGTCTTCCCAAATATGGTAGTACCTCTAGACTTCACCCAATCCATGGCACAGAGGGCAGTCAGACTTCTGTCAAAATAGGGATCAAACCAAAGTTCTGTCACACCATATTCCTATTTCCTAGTCACTAATCACATCAGAGGAAGAGCTAGTGCTTGCCCAATCATACAGCTTAAAATCCCAGGGGCAAAATCTCAGAGTGTCACTGCAGTTTGATTTCCAGCACAGCCTAAATTCTTGGCATTGACCTAGAATGCAATGAACAATGAGGCATTGACACACCTGCTACTATTCCTGTCTCCATGAGTTTTCCCTGATAAACGCTACTCCAGCATCTTCAATAT